ATATATATATATATATATATATATATATATATATATATATATATATATATATATATATATGTTTCCCTGACATTCTTAGTTCTAACAATGTTTTAACAGTTTCGAGCAGTTCTGTATCAATTTTACCAATGAAAAACTGCAGCAACATTTTAACCAGGTCATTAATTTTCCTTCGAAGTCGTGATTTTTCGAATTCCACGTATCGACTTGATGTACTAATTGGAGTTTTTTTTTTTAAACTTTCGTAATTTCAGCATGTTTTTAAAATGGAACAAGAAGACTATGAAAAAGAAGAGATAAACTGGAGCTACATCGAGTTTGTCGATAACCAAGATGTTCTTGATCTAATTGAGAAGGTCTGACTAAATGAGTATCATTTAAGTTGTGTTTCGTTTTTGTCTGTCGTATTCTGTCACTAGAACTACTGATTTAATTTTTTAATTTTTTTTGCAGAAACCGGGAGGAATAATTGCATTACTAGACGAAGCTTGGTATTCATTCCGATAATCTTTATACTCATTTACTCCTTACATATTTCATCGTTCTTTGTATATTTTCTAGTGTTTTTCATCGCTAACACTTACCGTTTTCTTGGCAGTATGTTTCCGAAATCTACCCACGAGACATTTGCTCAGAAGTTGTATCAGACGTTTGGAAAAAATAAGCGCTTTATCAAACCGAAGCTTTCTCGCACCAATTTCACTATAGCTCACTATGCCGGGGAGGTAATTAATGTACATTTAATTTTGAAATGTCGGATTCCGTAAAAATATACTAAAAAATAATCGTCGGTTGTTGCAGGTAACTTATCTGGCAGATTTGTTCCTCGATAAGAACAAAGATTACGTAGTGGCAGAACATCAAGATTTATTAACAGCTTCAAAGTGTTCCTTTGTAGCTAGTTTGTTTCCTGCTCTACCTGAAGACTCATCTAAATCCTCGAAATTTTCTTCCATAGGATCACGCTTTAAGGTTCTTTTGCATTCTCTTTACTTCCGAAACCCCCCGATTTAAATGCCGTTTCATCTCTGCTGGTAATAATTTTATATGCTATACAAATACTGTGAACGCCGTGTGAACAAGAAAAGGATATTCTTTGTTTGCTTGCAGCTACAACTGCAATCTTTAATGGAAACGTTAAGTCACACAGAACCTCACTACATCAGATGCGTGAAGCCGAATAATGTTCTCAAGCCCGCCATTTTCGAGAGTGAAAATGTAATTCAGCAACTGCGATGTGGTGTAAGTAATTTCAACCCTAGTCAGCACAGTTTGACTTTTGTAGCTTCTGTCAATCTCTCCCCATGTTTAAAGTGTGGTAATAAATTTCATTTTTATTACAGGGTGTTCTAGAAGCTATCAGAATTAGCTGTGCTGGATACCCCACAAGACGTACATTTGACGAATTTCTTCTCCGATTTGGCCTTCTTGCTCCTGAAGCATTGGAAGGAAAGTAAGTCTTTTTCTATATCTTATTTAATTTTTTTTTTTGTATCTTAAAAATCATCTGTATTAATTGACAATAACTTGCCCTGCAGCTCCGATGACAAGGTTGCATGTCAGTTGATTCTGGACAGAATGGGGTTAAAGGGCTATCAGGTATAATTTTACCCGAATACCTTATTTTTTTCGTTAAATGATACTGTAGGATTATTTAATTACGTAAATAATTACTATATTATGCCTGGTTTTTGCAGTTAGGTAAGACGAAAGTGTTCTTACGAGCTGGTCAGATGGCTGAGCTGGACACAAGGAGATCAGAGGTTCTTGGGAATGCAGCCAGAACTATTCAAAGGCAGATTCGTACTTACATTGCTCGTAAAGAGTTTGTTTCTTTGCGCTATGCGGCTATTAAATTGCAATCTTGTTGGCGAGGTAACTCTAATTTAGTAATTTTCAGATTAATGCTCTACTTATTTAAGATGAAAGAAGTATTTATGAGGAAGCATTTAATTTTTTTTTTCTTATAATAATTGTGCAGCTATATCTGCTTGCGAATTTTATGCGGAATTGAGACGTGAATCTGCCAGTCTGAAAATCCAGAAGAACTTCAGGCGTTACATTGCTCGAAAATCGTACCTGACTTTGCAGGATTCTGCTGTAAGAGTCCAGGCTGGCATGAGAGCAATGATTGCTCGTACTGAATTCAGATTCAGAAAGCAGACTAAGGCTTCGATCAAGATTCAGGTTAATACTGAAATAGTCCGTCAAAAAAAAAAAAGAATAAAAAAAAAATGATACACCAGAAGAATTATGTGATTTCATTGTTGACTATTTGTGCAGGCTCAATGGCGTGGTCACAGAGAATATTCTTATTACAAGAATCTCGAGAAGGCTGCTGTTGTTACACAGTGTGGTTGGAGGGGGCGTGTGGCTCGGAGAGAGCTTCGGATGCTCAAATCGGTCTGCTATATATACATATGTTCCTTGTCTGAAAATAGGTTTATCTATGAACTTTTGCATGACAATTTGCTTATTATTGTGACAGGCTGCAAGAGAAACAGGGGCACTAAAAGAAGCCAAAGATAAGCTCGAAAAGAAAGTAGAGGAGCTTACGTGGCGTGTGCAGTTCGAGAAGCGGTTAAGGGTAATTAATTCATTCATCAATTTTCGTGGACGTTTTTTAAATACGATCCTTCCTATTAATGCACTGAAATTTGACTGCCGTTTTTTGTTTTTTTTTTTCTTTCTTTTCTCTTTTTGTCGAGTGCAGACTGAGTTGGAGGAAACGAAATCGCAAGAAATTGCGAAATTACAGGAGGCATTGCACTCGATGCAAATACAGGTAGAAGAAGCAAATGCTAGAGTCGTAAAAGAACAAGAACTAGCACGGAAAGCAATCGAAGAAGCTCCTCCAATCATTAAAGAAACCCCGGTTTTGGTTCAAGACACTGCAAAGATCGATGCATTATCAGCCGAGGTAGAGAATCTTAAGGTAAGAGTGTACGCCGAACGAATCTATTAACAAATATTGTATCGTATTTAGTGAATGCGACAGTGACCAATAAGCTTCATCGTTATTATTTTTTTTACAGGCTTCACTGCTATCAGAAAAATTGACTGCGGAAGAGGCGAAGAAAGCATGTTCCGATGCAGAGGCTAGAAATACGGATTTGGCTAAAAAACTCGAAGAAGCAGGATCGAAAGTGGATCAGCTTCAAGATTCCGTACAGAGGTAATTTAACTGTAAAACATTGCTTTCGTATTTAACTTATCATGTACTATTATTATGTTTTTCAAAATCGTAACCCCTTTTTTTTTTTTTTAAATATACCAGGCTTGAAGAGAAGCTATCGAATTCCGAGTCGGAAAATCAAGTACTCCGACAACAAGCTCTGACAATGTCACCTACAGGGAAGGCTATATCTGCTCGATCTAGGACAATGATTGTTCAGGTACTGATATTTTTAAATATTTTAATCATATTGGTTCGTGTTAGAGATATTCTTATCTTCCCCGATGATATCTATTACAGAGAACTCCGGATAACGGAAATATTCTCAGTGGAGAAACGAAGACCAACAATGTAAGGGTACATTATTTTTTCGTAATCTATATCAATGTACTAAAGGGCTCGTAAATGTGACGAGTGCTCACTAATTATTGTTTGTCACAGGACTTGACCCTTGCTATTGTGAATCCCAAGGAGCCCGAATCCGAGGAAAAACCCCAGAAGTCTCTTAATGAAAAGCAGCAAGTACGTGTTTATATATGTGTGTGTGTGTGTGTGTGTGTGTGTGTGTGTGTGTGTGTGTGTGTGTGTGTGTGTGTGTGTTGACATGTTTGTTTGTTTGTCCTAAAACTATGTTGTCTTGACAGGACAACCAGGATCTGTTGATAAAGTGCATCTCACAAGATTTGGGATTTTCTGGCGGTAAACCTGTGGCGGCGTGTATTATTTACAAATGCCTTCTTCACTGGAGGTCGTTTGAGGTTGAAAGGACCACCGTGTTTGACCGTATAATTCAAACCATATCTTCGTCCATAGAGGTAACAAATCCAATCAAGCGTCGCCTACTCTTTTGGCAAATGCATTTTGCATCCTCAAAAAAAAATGCTAATTTCATAGAATTTCTGTCCTAGGTTGCCGATAACAACGATGTTTTAGCATACTGGCTATGTAATACATCCACATTGCTAATGCTTTTACAACACACACTCAAAGCAAGCGGTGCAGCTAGCTTGACCCCACAAAGGCGAAGATCTTCATCAGCTTCTCTTTTCGGAAGGATGTCTCAAGTATATACATACACACATATATAGATACATGCATGTATATATATTGCTACCATGTTTTGTTAAATTTGTTTAATTTAATTTATACCCGGTTTATTTTATTTTTGAAGGGATTGAGAGCGACCCCTCAAAGTGCTGGACTTCCGTTTCTCAATGGACGAACGCTTGGTAGACTCGATGATTTAAGGCAAGTTGAGGCGAAATATCCTGCTTTGTTGTTCAAGCAGCAACTTACTGCTTTCTTGGAGAAAATATACGGAATGATTAGAGACAATCTAAAGAAAGAGATTTCCCCTTTGCTCGGTTTATGCATCCAAGTAAGTAATAATATATATATATATATATATATATATATATATATATATATATATATATAATCTTGAGCATGCTTTTAAATTGCTTTATTTATTTTATTTGGCTGAAACAACTGCTTATTAAATGCAGGCACCGCGAACGTCTCGTTCGAGTTTAGTGAAAGGGCGTCCGCATAATGCCGTTGCTCAACAAGCCCTAATTGCTCATTGGCAGAGCATTGTAAGAAGCCTAGATGCTTACTCGAAGACGATGAAAGCAAACTATGTAAGAACAAAATTTTGCTTTTGTTATTTTTTTCAATAAAAGTTTCTTTTTTGGCTCGTCTCATTTGTGGTGTCATTACAGGTACCTGCTTTCCTTGTCCGGAAGATTTTCACTCAAATGTTCTCGTTTATCAATGTCCAATTATTCAACAGGTAAGTCCGTCTTTCTAGGACTCTTGAATTACGTATTACGGGAAACATTTTCAGACGCCGTATTAACTTTTTACCGACTTTTTTCAGTCTTCTTTTACGACGCGAGTGCTGCTCATTCAGTAATGGGGAGTATGTAAAAGCTGGGCTGGCTGAATTGGAACAATGGTGTCTTTTTGCAACTGAGGAAGTAAGATTTTGTTTCATAGGTTTCCGTTTTCTTTTTTTCCCTTGCCTAAACTAATTACCGAAACCGACACTTTCCTGTAATAACAGTATGCAGGATCAGCTTGGGATGAACTGAAGCATATCAGACAGGCAGTTGGGTTCTTGGTAAGAATCAGACACACCCTTGTCCACTTCCATCGATTTCCTTTTTTTTTTTTCCTTTTTTTTTGTCTGAAAATTTTCATTATTTGGACTCTCCTGTATTGAAAGGTTATACATCAAAAGCCCAAGAAGACCTTAAATGAAATAACAAACGAACTCTGTCCGGTGAGTTAAACTTTTTCTTTTTTTGCACCATCTTTTTATTTAATTTATTTTTTCCTCGTTGATTTTTATAACAAACAATTTTGTCGTTTTTGCAGGTGCTTAGCATACAGCAAATATACAGGATAAGTACAATGTATTGGGACGACATATACGGCACTCATAGTGTTTCTTCAGATGTAAGTCAGTTCTTAAAACTCGAATCTTTTTCATCCTTACAAGTTTCTCGACTTTGTACATAGACATATAGTTTTGATATGTTTCTTTATTTATTTTTATTTCGTCAGGTCATTTCAAGTATTCGAGTCATGATGACAGAGGACTCGAGCAACGGAGTGAGCAGTTCATTTCTGTTAGACGACGACTCAAGGTAAGAACATGCTCTTCATTATTACCTGAAGTTTGTGTCCTAAACGAGGATTTTACACGAGTACTTCAAAACACATTTTGTATTTACCAAAATGCCATTTGCAGCATTCCATTCTCTGTCGATGACATCTCCAAATCCATGCAAACAGTAGATGTGGCCGATGTGGAACCACCCCCTTTAATACGTGAAAATTCAGGCTTCGTATTTTTACATCAACGAGCCGATTGATGACGGTGATGATGATGTCATCACAAAGTTTCGTCACAACCATTTCCCTCTGCCAGATATGTGTGCATAATCGTAGATTTATTTATTTTTTATACGGCAGTGTTATTTGTATATTTTTCATTATTATTATTCGCATGCGCCGAAGTCATTAGATGTGTGGGTTAGTTGGATTTTTTTCTTTCCTCCCGGGGAGTTTTCAACGAGAGGCGGGCATTGTTAGATGATCATATGGAAGGGTTTAGGCATATGCATTGTTTTTTTTTTTTGAATAGTTGATTTGCCATGTGTTTTTTTGAGTGTATAGTGATAGGAATTTGGGGATTTAGGTATTTATTTGTTGTATTTTTTTTTAATTTAATTTAATTTTTTTTTGGGGGAATTTTGATGCATATATGAGTGTCCACACAACATTGTGTATATGTAAAAAAGACATGTTGATTTATTCATTTGTTTTATGGTCTTGTGTAAACAAGACTTGTTTGCAATGTTGATTTACGTTTATGTAGTTTATATTGTTGGTAAAAAAATATTAAAAAAAGATTTAAGCATTTAAGCGATTTCTAGCAAGAATTTATCAAGAAATGAAAAGATTATGGAGTATACATTTAGCATTTTATTGGGCCTATTTTACACTATTTTGCCAGGCTGGTCGGTCAATTTCTTTAGCCCATTTGACACTATTTTGCCGGGCTGCTGGAAATGAATTAAATCAACCATAACAAGTTCTCTCATTACAATCTTAGAAAACACACACACACACACACACACACACACACACACACACGAGTTTCAAAAATCCTAGGATTCCACTACCTCAGAAGATTTATCTGCTTCGACGAGATTTTGTACCTGTGTTCGATCCTGAATCGGGTGCATCTCCATTTTCTTCTTCTCTTTAAGAATAACTTGCTTCGGCATAACCTCGAGCAGGAAATTCCCACCATTCCACACGGCTGCAGAAACTTTAAGCATCTGAAAAATCACATGCAATTCATACGACAAGAATATCGGTACCGTAAGAGCCGTAGTTGCTAGTGTGAACATAGCTTGTAGCACCGTATACATAAACAACCGATTTTGATCCCCCAACAATCCACTCAATCTCCACCACATGTTATTTGCTTTCTGCGCTTTCTTCGAAAGTTCCCTATCACATACATAAATCCCAAAAGAAAAAATTAAGTTAGAAAAAGTCGGGAGTACAGAGAAGAATAGAAGGGATTAATTATGAGATAAAATAAAAACCTGTAGGAAGTCATAACTTCCGGATCACGAAGTAATCGTTGTCTACGAAGTACGTAAACAACGAGGAAATAAAGAAGCTGCCAAATACTGTAAACGACTAAAGGAACAATAAACAGCCATGTCCAGAGATAAGATTTGTTTTCGGTGTAAGGCCATGATTCTCTACTGATGGTTCCCTCGGAATGCATGGCTGCGAAATATACCGGGTCCCACCATCGAATTGTGAAGAAAACTAACCCTGAAAATAAACCATTATTCGTATTTACTACGCTCGAATTGATTGAAGGAATACACAATAAATTTCTCTCGTCGAATTTCGGAATGAGCAAAAGGAGCGACCCCGATCCTTACCGGGCAAGAGATGTATGAAGACACTAACTATTTTGTCCATGGAATTGAAAACTAAGCTGCAGCGCCAAACGATTAGTGCCCATGCCAATGGCCCCTGCAATAATAATTATAAAAATAAAAAATCATGTTATTCGACTTGGAAGATTAAAGAATACATACATACATACATATATATATATATATATATATATATATATATATATATATATATATATATATATAAATAATAATAATAATAAAAAACAATGGTCCGGTTGATTAGTGTATTACCTCTGCAAACGAGAAGCAAACCATGTAAAGCTTCTCGTTTCTCGGATAAAAAAGCAGCATGATCAAGAAGATGGTGTTGGCATAGTAACAAAAGTCCTGTGTGACAAGAAAATTCAAGCTAGTCCATCGAAAAACTATTCTCTGCCAATACGAATGGATTTTGTATCGAGAGGTGGAAACTTACGAGAAGATAATAATGCCACTTTTTGTATCGATAGTATATCCAACGAAGGGGAACAAAGATTACGTAGAACAGACAATACAAATATCGAACATCTTGCGGCCCTGATTAAACAAAACACGATATTATAACAGAGACAAAATTGTAATGCAAAGAGATGTATGCATGTTGTACAACTCACTTGCACCCAAAACAAAGCAAAATCCTCCGAAGCCAAGAACCCCCATCAAGTGTGTCACCTACATATATGAAACTCATTATGAAAAAAATACTAATTTACGCAAAATTCACGGCAGATTTAGCACTAATTTAACATTATCTTCCTTTTTCCCTGTGTATGTTAAATATCCTAATCTCCAGAAATAAAGAGATATACATATATATAGATACACACACTTATTACCACTAGCAGAGCCTTGGATTTTAAGTTCGCGGGATCCGAATGCATTAAAACTTTTATGAGGGGGGCCGATAATGCTAAATATTCACGATTTTTTTTTTAAATCTTTACATGAAAAAAGGGATTCGAGGCTAACTCATATTACATAAATGGCTATTACCTTGTTTATGAATCTTTCGTGTTCTTCGGCCTGTTTGGCGATCTTAACGGCTTGTTTGGACAGCATCTCCTTTGTCTGAGCCACTTTCTGCCCAAAAAATCAAAATAAAAAAAATAATAAAAAAACAAGAAAATCACCAAAAAAAAATCAAGAAAACATCCAAAACACAAACCCAGCCACATAAATTTCAGTCCCTTTTTTTCTCCAAGCTTATTTCTCTAATTGGCACCAAAAAAAAAAAAAAGGAAACCTCGTACCTCGGATCGATCCTTGAACCTTAATTTAAGCTTGACATTTGAATCGCCGTTCGAATCATCCAACTCAAGGGTTTCTTCACTAGTTGCCATTTTTCCTCTGTTTCAATTCCTACCGTTCTGCCTCAAGAAGTTTATTCTCTCTCTCTCTCTCTCTCTCTCTCTCTCTCTCTCTCTCTGTGCGGGGAAGGAATTCCAAGAAAAGGTGGTCGCGGTGCGGTATTTGGTTCAATATAATAATGATTTCTTGCTTGTTAAGACAAAAAAATGGGATTTTTCTTCTGGGATGCATTTATTTCGTTATAATCGTACACGTGGCAACAAGCGACAGTCTTCTTCTTCTTCATCTTCTGATATTCTCTTCTCTTTCACTTTCCCTTTTTTTATTATTATTTCTTTGCATTTGGATTCTTCAGCTTACAAAATTGAAATCAGTTTTATTGGTGAAGTTACGTGGAACAATATTCTTAGAGCAGCTGTCCTTCTTTGTCCCAAAACGGTGTCGTAAACCCCACACTCGAAGCTTCTTTGTTCCATTTCTTAATTCTTATCCCAAAACGGTGACGTACTCTAATTTAGTATTACGCATTAAGCAACAAATAGTCAATATATTTTATTTTATTTTTATTTTTTCTTTGACAAGGCATTAAGCAAAATGGAAAATTAGAGAAAAAAAAACCATCTACGTTGAGGAAACACACATTTCTAAAAATTATTAGAAAAAACTCTCTGAGCTAATATTCCACCTATGTGATATTTTTATAATTACAAAACTATCCTTAGTTGTCTATTATACTCTTTCAAAACCTTAATCTTATTTTTAATTTTTCATTCTGCATTTTTTATGTTTCTAGCTTTTCTCTCTTCTCTGTTTTTCTTTTTTTCTCTGTCTTTTCAGGCAATCTTCTCCGCTGCTGCCGCCGACGTCGCTGGAAGATGGAGAAAGAAAGAATATTAGAAGAAGAAGCACCCATCAAACATTATAAATATAATGATTTTGATAGTGATTCTGAATTCGAATGCTAGAATTGTTACATCGGCGACGTTAAGAGGTAAAATTGTCGATTTGTTGCCGGAATCGGATTTTGATGGGTGGTGTTTTTGCTTTGGTTGGTGGTGCGAGTTGTGATTTTAATATTTATTTGTAATAAAAAAAACGTCACAATATCAAATTAAGGTGGTGATGGTGTGTTGTGGTGCGGTGTGGTGACGATGGGAAGACAGATTTAAGGTTTTTTTGTGGATCGGGTGGAGAACAACGCGTGTAGAAAATTTCGTGCAGGCTAAAACCTTAATCGACTATGTACATGTTCATAGTCGATTAAGCTAATCAACTATGCTCTGATAGTCAATTAAGGTTGATCGACTCCAATTTTTTTTATTTTTTATTTTTTATTTATTGATTCCAATTGTATAAATCATTTATAATGTTTGTAATTTTTTAGTTATTGTTTATATAGTTGATTTTGCATTTTTTCGCAGTTGTGATTTGTTATTTTTAGTAGCAGATTTTTAATCAACTATGCTTCACATCATAATCGATTAATATGATTCAATGACTCCAATTTTTTATTTTTGTTTTAATTTTTTGTTTATTGATTCCAATTGTATAAATCAATTATAATGTTTGTATATTTTTTGTTTTTGTAAAATATAGTTAAGTTTGCATTTTTGTAGTTGTGATTTGTTATTTTTAGTATTCCGTTCCTTAATTGACTATATAGTTCATCATAGTCGATTTAATATGCTTCATAGTCGATTAACATACCTGATAGAGAAAAAAAAGTTAAAAACCGAAAAAAAAATAAAAAAAAATAAAAAAAATAAAAACAATAAAAAAATAATAATAATAATAATAATAATAAATTAATAATAATATTAAATAACAATAATATAATAAAAAAAAGAGAGAGAGAGAGAGAGAGAAAGACACGATCATGGGGATAGTGGGCTGATGGGTAAATGTATAAGGTGGAGGGACATAAATGAAAAAAATGGGTGGCTAAAATTTAATGATGCAAAATAATTTAGGTCTTTTTCTATTAAAAGAAGTATTCAGGATTATATCAAAGAGTCCCTAAGCAAAAATATTAATAAATTAACATTCGATTGAACTCATTCAAAATTAATACCGGGGCAACAGTGAGATTTCGAAAAAATGGAGGGACCCCACCGAAAAATAGTATATATATATATATATATTAATTTCGTGTCAGCTTCAACTTCAAATTGAACACGCAGAGGGGAGAGAGTAAAAGGTCCACCCCCAAATTCTAATGATCTTACCGGTAAAATTCTTCATTCTTCTGCTAAATTCATTCTATATATATATATATATATACTAGTGAGGAGCACCGCGCAAGGCGCGGTGCCGGTGCTCGGATCGGCGGTGCTGATTAACAGGAACATTCCATGCTAGGTTACAGAATTTCATTCTATGCTAGGTTACGCAATTTCTTGATGATTGCATCGACCTGAGCAAAAGGAATCTCCATAACTGTTGCTTTCTTAACCAAGTACTAAGACTGAAGAATGTTCTTGTAAATTACGGTCAATAACAAGTATGCTTTAGGCATATAAGCAGTGATTTCAAATGCTAATGTTAATCATACTGTCAACAACTCTAAACAACTCTACAGATAAGTCACCCTTACTGCCGTGCCACTTTACAGAACTGTACATGAGCTGTGGAGCAATAATAAATGACAAGTAAAACATCTATTGGAAACAATAACCCAATATAGTTGAATGAAAAAGAGTGGGACCATTACAGTTTAACCATTCTCCGTCTTCATTGACACCTACAATAACATTTATACAAGCAACAAAAAAACGATGAGCCTGTCCTACCAGTACTGAAAAAAATAATTCAAGAATTTGTCGTGCCGATACGCGAAAAAAAAAACTATAGATATTTGCTAACAATGAAAACTGAATACCTACATCTACAATCACCACTCACTAGACACGATTATGCACCAAAAACAAGTGCAACTGGAAGGAACAACATAATTATAACAAGCGAGACGATAAGCACGCATACAATGCTAATCCGAATGCTAGAGCGATTAGGTAATATATGGTAAACCTGTTTTACTCTGTAAAGAAGATTCTAAAAGTTCAGCAAAATTCTAGAGGATAAAACAAACCTGCTTTCGAGATTTCGCATCCGAAAACATAAATGAAACATGGCATGCCGGCTTAAATGCTCCAACTAAAAAAATATGAGAATAAAAATCGACATGTTCTTCAATGACAAAACAGGAACAAGAACAATAATATTTAAGAATGTCGAGCAAGGGTTGAAACTTTACCATTGCCGAAAATTAACTCAAAATTAAATCAAATCGCCAGCAGAAGCACCTGCAACAAAATTATTTCAGAATTCAAGACCATAAATTATATCAGAATTATAACTGGATATGAAACAAATCCACAAAAGATCACATCCAAAGAGTATAAAGACTGCTCAATAATTCGTGAATAACATAAGCGCAAACTCTCTAAATGAGCCGACGACAACACTGACCTCAGCGACTGCCATAAAATAGACGCGGCGACGCCGGCCTGCCTCATCTTGTTCAAAATCCTGTTAATCGAGTCGTTCAATTTATCGATGCCGGTCTCGACTTCCGAATATCAATTTCCATTTCGCGCAGTGCTCTGAAACGGGGCATCAATGGAGGGTAGGACGGTGCAGGGGGGGGAGAGAGGGAGGAAAGTAGCTGTTAGGGGGAGGGGGGCAGCTGGGAATTCTTGAGATGGTGGACGGATCCGAAAGGAATATCGGAATTTCTGGATGTGGAGGAGGAGGCGCGGCGGAGCAGGTGGGGGAAAGATGTGGTGGGAAGCGATGCGGGCGGTGACCGGGGCGGCGAGCGAGGAGGCGGCGGCGGCGGGCGTGGAAGTGGGCGGGAGTCAACGATTGCAGGCCTCCCGTCCCATGGCTGTGTGGAACAAAAGGGAAACCTGCTGTGAGAATTGGGCGGCAGAGGAAATCGAAATGAAGGAAGAAAAAGGCAGGGCTCTGAGTGGAGAAGAAGAGGGGCGGAGCGGCGGTCAACATTTGCGGCGGCAAAAGGGAGAGAAGAGAAAAGGGGGAAATTAATTAAATGGAAAAGAAAAAGCAGGTCGATCGTGCATTTCGGAAGAAAAGGAAAAAGA